CACCAATAAGCGCCGTCAATCCTACACCGAACGCAATTTCAAGAGTTTTCTTGACGCGACGCCACTTGGAAGGGTTCTTGGCTAGCTCTTGTGCCACATCCTCCGTGAGCTTTGCGGCCTGCTTCTCGTCAACACTTTTAAGTTGACCTGACGCCTTCAGCTTGTTGAAGTCGTTTTTCCACTTGCCCGAGGTTGTGTCTAGCGGTTTAAGCTTGGCGCCAGATTCAAACTTGACGATGGCGCTCTCCCAGTTCTTTGCAGAAGTGGTTCCGAGTTTTGCCGTTTCTTGAAACTTGACGATGGCATTTTCGCTCGTTGCAGCTTTCGTCCATCCTCTGAGTTTGTTTGAGTTCGGTGTGAATTTAGTGATGGCACCTTCCACAACGTCGTCGAGCAGCTCGATTTTGACTTCCTCCTTGGCGTATGCGGCATTGAAGAAGCTCATAGTAAAAGCGGCCGCTAAAATGACGAAGAAAAGGCTCGAGCGCATTACAACGAACTATGGTAGAACCTCGAGTAGGCGAGAGCTGTTCGATTTGGAAATGAAAGACGGTTGAGGCTCAGCTTGAGCTGGAGTTCAAAGGTCCAGTTTGTTTTCAAAGCATTAGATGTTATCACCCTAAGATAATTTGCGGCAAGGTATGGGGTACATTCTGTACGGCCTGTGTATTGTAATTTCCATGGGCGGTTCTTGGAATGAACCTCCACCAAATCGCCCAGCGTTTACAATTCCGTATACTGACCCGTTCAAGTACGAAATAAGATCATGAATGTGGCGTGGTGGGTTTACTAATGACTTGGGTTTGTATGTGGGCGATTGTCCTTCCGCTCCTCAAACAAACCCAAATCGGCAAATTTGGACGGAAATCACAATACTACAGGAGTCCTGTAACAGGACACGTTCGGCGAGGAGCTGATTCTGCGGAGTAATCAGTACACGTGGATGGGCGAACACAGTTGTCAACCAGAGAAAGGTGTAAAAGCTGAAAAACCGGGCCTGAAATAGCCCTGAAACTGGAAAGAGCCCGTTGAACAGCGTTCCGAACATAGTTTTGTGCCAAGCAATTTACCACTTCATCACGCCGCGCTCGATCAAAGGTTGGTATGCATGTGTGAGCGGAAGTCGAAAAGTAGATAATCCTACCCTTTACGATAAAATCCATCTTGTCCAGTGGTACATGATACCAGGTTGGTACCATGCCGTATCAATGCATCCGTTTGTCTTGACATTGCAAACCCCTGTTCTTGATGGCCGGGGAAAACCTGCGTGTGCATGGAACCAATGTCTGACATCTTAACAACAGGACCAGATAGAAATGTACATAAGGTATGACTGACTTATTAATGATAATGGGTCATTACTAATGGCAAATCATGACCTTGGGTTATCAACACAGTCCTTGTGGATTCCACGATGTGCTAATCAAATTAGAGGATCCGAGAACCTATCATTACAGGCTGGGAATCAGTTACAGATGGACGTCTCGATTGTTATTAACAAAGTAGCAAGTAGAACTTGCTGCTAATGCTGCGGTAAAGGCGCGGTTGGGGTCATCTCGGTATCGATAAGATTTGAAGTTGCACGCACAACCAACGATCCAAATATGTATTTGCCTTGATGCATTGTGCTGGCGCAAAAGCTGAAGGAAAAACTAATCTACATGAGTCGATGTCAAAATAGACTTGACGGTTCTGTCAGAGGTAGCACAACAGCCACGTCGCTGACTGCCGCTGTATGGAACTGGCAACCAGCTCCGCCCTCGAGACCACGTGTTGGCATGCTTGATCAGAAAGACTGGGTATCAAACCAATTAAAAAAAATTATAACTTGTTTTTCGTTTTGATTCGCGAAACATTGTAAACAGATAAGAAGAAAAATCAATTGTCGTCAACTTTGACGATATAATCTCTGGTAGGCTTTCACTGTACTCCTATCGCTGCCAGATAATGTACTACCAGTACCCTATTCTAAGGCACAGTACGATACTGTCAGTACCTTCGTGGAGGCCAGATGGACGTAATGATT